TATATAATTTATTTTGAAGTTATTATATATATATATATATATATTATATATATTTCTATATATATATTTTTTATTTTTATTTTTTTATATTAACTTTAACCTTAATTTAAAATAATTATATAAATTAAATAATAATCATAATACCTTTAATAAAAGTAATAAATCAAATATTATATTTAAAAAATAAGTAGATTTCAAAAATTAAACACAAAATATATATAATTTATAATAACTATAAAAATAATATTTAATTTAATTTATAATTAAAAAATAAAAAAATTATATTTTAAAAATAATTTAAAATAAAATAATTAATATTATCATTTTTAAATATAAATATTTATATATATAAAAATCAAATAATATAATTTTTTTCTTTTTAGTTTAAAAAATTTATAATCCTATATAAATATTTAAAATTATGAATTAAATTATATTAAGAATAATAAATAATATATAATATAATATATTTAATTTAAGTTCGTATTTATTATAATATAATTTCAAAATTTAAATTTCTTTATTATTTAATATATTTTCTTATGTTATTAATATATATAAAATTAATTTTATTATTACTATATATATTTATAAATATATTTAATTTAAAAATTATTTTTTCTTATTTTTATATAATAATTTTAATATATTATTAAAATTATTTTTACAAATTTTAATACTAAATGAATAATACCTTATAATTATAATAATAAGTATTATATTTAAAATATAAATATATTTCAAAAAAATAGAACTTAAAATATATATAATTCATAATAATTTTAAAAATAATATTTAATATATAATCAAATAAATACAGAATTCACAAAATTAATTTATACTATCTAAATAAAATAATTAATTTTATCTTTTTTATATAAAAATATATTAATCTATATAAAATCAAATAATATATTTTCTTTTTTTTGGTATAAAATGTTTATTATCTATAAAAAATATTTAAATTTAATTAATTAAACTATTTAAAAATAGTAAATTATATAATTAAATTAATCAAAGTTCATATCTATTATAATATAATTTCATAATTTGAATATTGTTTATTTCAAAAATATATTCTTATGTTATTAATATATATAAATTTTTTTTAATATATATCATATTATATATATATGAAATTTAAAGATAATTTTTTATTTTTATTTTGTTTTTAAAAATATTATTAAAAATAATAAAATAAATTTAATAATAAATGTTAATACTTTATACTTATTATAATTGTTATTTAATTTTAAAATAAATTGAATACAAAATAAAAAACATAAAAAATATATAATTTTATAATAACTATAAAAATATAGTTAATATATAATTAAAAAAAAAATTATAAAAAATAATTTATATTTTCAAAAAATATAAATATAAAATAATTAATAATATCTATTTTAATTATAATAATTGTATTTATAAAAATCAAATGATATAATTTAATTTTTTGTTTATAAGTTAAATATAAAAAATAGATATTTAAATTTATTTTATTATATTATATAAAAAATAATAAATAAAATATTATACAATAGTTTTAATTTTATTTAATATTTTTTATTATTTATTCATGATATAAAATATTTTCTTTAATTATAAATATATTTAGATATAAAAAAATATTAAAAAATTCTTTGTAAATAATTATAACTATAAATATATATATATATATATATATTTATAAATTTATTTATATATATATATTATTTTATTTTTTTAATTTTATTTATATATATATTTTTATTTATTTTTGTTTTTAAAAATGATTATATAAATTATAATAATAAATGAATCATATATTTTAATTGTATTAATAAATTTATAGAAAACAATAAAATAAAATAATAATATAAATAATTATTAGTATCTTTAAAATAATATTTAATCAAAAAAATTTACAAACATAATTTATATTTTCAAAGTAATTTAAAAATGAAATAATTTATAAATATATACAAAATAAAAAATGAGAAGAAGTAAATAAACTATTCTTCACATGCAATATTTCCTTTTTTAATAACTCTATCATTTAAACTTTAAATTGCCCTATTGCTTCCATTTCCTTTCGCAAACTCAATATTTCTTTATAAATATAAACTAATATCCGAATACTAAATAGTTGACATACTAAAAACAGTATTAAAAATATACCAATTGACCACTTCATCACATGGTGGTTAAGTAATTGATCCCTAATAAGAATAATAGTCATCCGAAGTAGAAAAAACTTCACCCAAAGTCGCATTTAGATTCAAATTGAAACTATTTTCGACTTTTTGAGGTTTCCATACATCGAAAAATTTAGAACTTTTCGTGGAATCTTGATTAAAGAAAATGCACACAACTGCCTTAGTTTTTTATTAAGCATCATTAGCAATTTTAAATTCAGCCTTTATATTATGGTAAAACTACACCTCTATATCATATTATGTACCCTCTATTTAATGTTCAGAAGGAGATTTTACCTATATTTCATATCCGTCGTATCCTACTAAGTTTCCGTCTATATCTTTTGCATGTAAAATTGTAAATTATCCAACCGATTTCAAACCTTATAAAGACTTATTAACTGAAGTTAAAATATCTTCAGCTTTTAATACCATATTAACCATCATCTAATATTATTTTTTTTATTTTTTTATTTTTTTGATTTACACTGTTATCACATGTGCCTTTCACATCTTTTATGTCAATTGGAGATTGAGCTGAACCTTCTTAACAAGTTCCTGGCCAATCATTACCTTAGTTTAAGTATATTTATTGTTGTTTAGATAATATTATTAATATCGAAAATAAGAATATAGTATATATCATATGTATTTATAATTTTAAATTAAAGAAATATAAATAAAATAAAAAATTTATTCAATATTTAATAAAATAAAATTATATTTTTTTTTAAATATAATTATATTTGAAATTTATTTTATAAAATAAATTATATATATATATTTTATAATAATGAAAATTATATAATTTAAATTTTAAAATTAGTATAATTAAAATAATTCAAAATAAAAACTTCAAAATTAATATATATAAATGTACAAATATAATTAGATAATATATATTTTTTGTATGTATATATATATATTATTAAATTTTATATATAAACAATTTTAAATATAGATATATATATTAAAAAAAAATTTTATAATATTAAAATTTTATTAATATTGTTTTTTAATAAATATAAAATAAAAATTTAAAGTTTCATTTTAATTATCAATGAATTTAATAAAGATTTTCTATATATAAAATTAATTTTTTTTTTAAATTTTGTTTATTTTGATAAAATAAATACTCTTTAATGCGATAGAAAAATAAATATTTTAAAAAAATTCATATATATTGACAATAATATAAAAATAAATTTAAATTATTATTATATAGTTAGATATAATCTTTAAAAAAAAATGTCAAAAATATCAAGTTAGAAAAATAAAAATAATATATAAGATAAATAAAATTCAAAAGAAAAAATATTTGATTAAAATGATAAATAAAAATAATAAAAAAAAGTATCAATATTTGAAAATGACTAATACATAAATGTAAATAAGAATAAGAATATATATATAAAAACTACATATAAATAAAAACAAAAATAGATTAAAACATAAATAAATATATATATATATACATACAAAAAATACATACATATATATATACATACAATAATTTAAAAATATTTTGAATTAAACAATTATATTAAAATATATATATATATATATATATGTATATAAACATTAATAATATTTAAAAATAATTTTATTAAATATATAAAAATATATAAATATTTTATAATATACATATATTAATTTATATTTATAATATATTTTAATTTTTATTTTTTATTTATAAATATTTTTTTTATAAAAAGTTAAATATTCATTTTGATTCTATAAATGATTAAAAACAATTAAATCAAAATTAAGATTAAATAGAAAATAATAATATTAATATATTAAAATCTTCAAAATCCTAAAAAGATAAACATAGTAATAAAATATAGCCACTCCCTAACAATTTAATAATATCTTTATAAGATGCTAAAAAAATAAAATAACAATAAATATTATAATAAATAACGAATACTAAATATGAAGATTAAGCAGAAGATGAGCCTTTGATTTAAAAAAGAGACAATTAAAAAAATTCGTAATAGGTCAAAAAAAAAAGCTATTGTTAAAGATTTAGAGAATATTATTTAAAGAAATTTTATAGTGATATGCTAAAGTGGAGAAAAATATGGAGAGTATTGTGGCTTTTAATTATTATTTCAATTATATTAGTACTTTTTATTATTTGGTTTTATGAATTAGGATTTGAAAGAGGTAAATTCAACCTTTAAAATAACTAAAAAATAAGATTTAAAATAAATAATTGCTAATTAAATATATGGGATTATGAAAGACCTGATTCTTTGACAGTAGATTAAAGCTTTTTGGGTATAAAAAAATTCGATAATGATCTCCTAATTAATGATTTTGCGTAAGTATAATATTTTTACCCTGATGCAATATTGTAAAATAAAGATAGCAAAGTAAAAATAATAAAATAAAAAACTATATATATAAATATATATATATTTATATATATTTATATATATTATTTATATATTTATTTTTTTATCTTTTTAAATTAGTTTTAAATTATTGAAAATGATGATGGTATAACAGATTATATTTTTAATAATCAACTTAGCACTGATTCTTGTGAAATATCTATGAATATTTATAAATAAATTACATTTGAATTCTTATAAATAGACTGTGATTTATCTACATGTTATATAATTATAAATTCTAATAATTTCTCTGCAAAAAACTTAGATATTCGTGGTTCTAAAATATAACTAAACTCTCCTTAAATAATAGGCATTTAAGTAAATAATTTTTTTTAATTAAATTATTATTTAAAATATATTTATAGAAATTTAATTTTCTTTCATTTTCTGGAAGCGTAGAAATAAATAATTTTGAATTCGAATAAGCAAGTATTGACGTAAGTGAAGGAAATATATCTATATAATCTACTAAACCTATAAAAACAAATATGACATTACTAAAGACTTATACTGTATTACTTCCACTAAATCAAACAGTATAACTCCTATAAATTAAAATAACCGAATAGTATTAGAAAATGGTTGCGAAAAAGTATGCGCATATGGTGTTTAATGTACAGACCCCAATGACGTAATTGAATAGAGATGTATAAAGATTTCCGATTTAGAAATAAAATCTGAAAACATAGGAGATTTCCAGCTTTTAAACGCTAAAAATACCTTCGGGAACATATACATAAATATATTTAAAGAAAAAAATTAATACGTTTTAATCGATAATATGAAAAAAGCCAAAACTGAAAGACAAGTACTTTTCGACGATAATCTATATGGCGAAAACGCCGATAAAATCGACCTTTCCAAAACTTCTCTAGAAGACCTATACAAGACTATTGAATAGACTAAAAACCCTAAAATATATGACCCTATTTTTGTTATATAATTAGGTTCTAAATATATTCGATCGAACTCCTTTTAATAATGGCAAGTTACATATAATCCCGCCTATTCATATATGAAACCCTGGTGGTTGGGTACTTTGACAATTACACTATTAACAACATAGAGTTATTACAAAGAATATATACTATCTCCTGGATATTGTCCTTATGTACCTAGTTTAACTAAAGACTCCCTATATTAAACACAAGAGTTTATTAAGGAGAAGTTTAAAAGCTAGATTACGAATACTGAGAGGCATATATATTCTTTCGCCTGGCAATAAATGGTAAAATTGCCTATAGATAATATAAGCTAAACCACATAATATTAAGATTTCCGTGAAATTAATTTAAATAGAGACTATGATGATCAATGGTTGAGTTTTAATAAAGATGTGTAAGGAGGTATTTCTCTATAATACTACAATGTCCAATAATACTAGGTTTTGTTCGCGGCTATTATAGTGAGCGTTGTTTTGGCATTAATTGTTGGTTTAGTGCTAATTGTGGGCTTAGTATATGCTATAAATTAGAATTATATATGGGTTTTAAGACATATTTCTCATTTGGATAAATACTCGGTTTTAGACAAGGCTGGCAAAGACGAATATTAAAATAATAATAATTTAACAGATGAATAGAGAATCATTCTAGAAGAATATAATAAAGAATTAAAACAAGAGTAAATCTAAGAAAATTAAAATTAGAACAAATTCGAGTAAGCAACTAAAAAAATGGAAAAATAAGATAACAAATAAACTTTTAACTATACATTAAGTGGCATTATTAAACTTTTTGATACTCTTATATTTTTGGCACCACCTTTGAGTGCTTTTATAGATTTTGTGGTTAATATAGTACATAAGTCAAGACAAAACTCTATATTTGAGTTTTATAAAATACTTTTTATAAAAAGATAATCTTCTAGAGATGATTTAGACACAAAAATTCATAATTTAGATAAAGACTCTATTTCTGGAATGGAATTGAAAGTTTTGTACGAAAAATTTTGTTACTTAAACTAATTATTAGAGAGAAAATTAGATGAAGAATATAGTATAAAATTATTAAAAAATAGAGGATTTAAACTTGTTGTAAGATAAGATACATTAACACAATTTTACACATATATTAAGTATAATGGAGTTATAAATTCAATAACATAATAAAAAAATACAAATTCATTAAATTTGTTTATAAATACATGTTGCTCATTAACTAAATTCAATGAAGATTAAATAGATTCTTAATAATTTGATTAAAAATACTCAGTAAATAATATATAAAAAAAATATATGTATAATATATATTATAATTTTTATATATTTAAATATATCTATTTAAATAAATATATATATTTATATACATATTTATATAAATAACTATACAACACTATTATTTTTATATTATTCTTATATTTTTTTTTATTATTTATATCTAAATATTTTTTTTTAATTTATATAATTTTTTTTTTTTTATTTTTTTATATAGGAATTTTGTTTGAAAAATCATTTAGAAAAAATTTAACCAAATGAAGCTTCATTAAAAAAAGAATATGGAATAGATACTGTATATTTACCTTAATAATGGATTGAAAGAGATCCTTCATATAATTCTGAGAAAAGCCAAATTTATATTATTGATAAATAAAGAGTAGAAAATAACTTTGAAGTGTTATTAACTAAAGATATTTTCATATAAGATATAGTAATGGGCAAAAGCACATTAGACGATGCCAAATAAAACATATTTACTCCTACTGGTTGGCAGTTTTTTGATGTTATAACTGTAATTGCACATGTATCTGTTATTATATTATTAGGTTCTCCATTATTAGCTTTAGCTATATTTTTAAGAGTTTAGCAATCACCATATAGCTTAACACCTACTCCAAGATTAATATTCGGGTATATCTAAAAATAATTTAATTTAATTAATATATATAAAAACAATATTTAAATATAATTAGAATGGATATTATATACTACCCATCATCAATTCCTTATAAACTATCTACTGATTCATGGATATTAGTATTTATTATAGCCATTACATTGACTTTTTGGCTTTTATCATTTATAGATTTAATCCAATACTATTCTAGTATGAATTTTCCTTAAGAAAAATACTTCCAAACATACCGAAAATCGACTTTATTAAGAAGAATAATGTCTCGTATAATGTGGTGTATAGTTTTATTAGCTTCCTATACAGCTTTAGTGTATTTTTCTCTAGTAGCAATATGGCTTATGTTAGGTGCAATTATAAACCCAGACGCTTTTCTACCTTATGCAACTTCTGCGGCTACTTTCGTGACTATAATATCTAAGAAATTAAAAGATTTTAAAGATTTAAGTGAAAATGGATTCAAGAAATTAGAAGAATACCTCACATCTATGGCTTAAAATTAATTCTAAGATATCATTAAAAAAATGAATATTTAAGAAAAAATTGCAGATGCAATACCAACTGATGATATAAGAAATATAGCAAAATAAGCCTCTGATTTAGGCCTTATAGATCCTAAAGTATGCGAAGATTTAAATAATAATATAGAAACTATGATTCGAGATCCAAGTGCTGTTACTAATTTGGGAAATCAAATTATTAAAATAGCAGAAGATCCATCTGCTTTTGCATAATAAATTGTTACATAATTACAAGAAAAGGCTAAAAATATATTATTCGAATAAGTAAATATATATTTATATTAAAAGAGATATATAAATATATATATATATATATATATATATATATATTTATATATATATATTTAATCCTTATTTATATATATAATTTTTATTTATGTACTTTTTATTTTACAGGTAAGTTTTATATGTCCTTAATTAAAAAATGAAATTTCAGGTATTCTTTGGTGTTTTATTAATGAAGATAAACGAGAATTGAAAAATGCTATATCATTATTAATTAATGCTTTAGTGAATTAATATTAAAATTAAAATAAGAAAAATTAACTAGGAAAAATTATGAATTTAAAAGGTCCTATACTAAATTTTGTTTGGGAATTGGCATTCCCAGAATAGACTATTTAGGGTGGATTATTGACTTAATAAAAAATCGAGGAAAATCTTCTTAATATTTTCTGTATTGCTATAGCTGACATAATATCTTTATGGAAAAACGACAATAATATTTCCTAATAAATCAAAAACTAATAAAATATATAAAAAGGAAAAAATATAAAAGCACTTAAAAATATTCAATAATAACTATAAAAAGACAAAAAAAAATCCGGAGCAGGAGAATAACTAGATCTAGATATTTAAGAAAATGAATAAGAAATAGAACTTTTATCTTCTGAATAAGCTATAATTTAAGCTAATAAAAACATTATTTTAGGTATTCTTAAAATATATAAAGGATTTAAAAAAGATATGAGAAATAGTAAAAAAAAAAATTAAAAAAAAAAAATATTAATTATAAATATAAGGTAATATTAGAAGAATTCATAAAACTGGCTTAAAATGTTTAAAAAGTAATCGGCTTTGAAAGTTTAAAAGAAATAACCAAATACTAAGATATATTTAGGCTTGCATATAATTTATTTAAAGACCAAGATTAAATATAATATAAAGACATAATGGATTGTGTAAAAAAATTTTTAATAAATTCCGGTTTTTAGTAATAAACTTAAAATTTAACTGGAATAATAGGAGTGGTTGAAGTAATGGATTTTGTAGAGGTAATTTTAGACTCTTTCCGTTAATAAGGGAAAAGTATTTCATCTTCTAGAATAAAAGAAATTATTGATCCTTTAATATAAGGAATAGAAATGATTGGAGAGAAAATAAAGAGTGGAAAAAATGCTTAATAATAAAATATAGAAAAGATTGTAGAAGTAGACAAGTGTAATATTTTAAAAGCAGATTTATTAAGCTTGGTAAATGATCTAAACAATTAATTATAGATGGAAAAAGAAAACTTAATATATTAAAAAAATTAAAAAGATTATGAATAGGAAGAACTAAATGAATTAAATTAAAGTATAAAATAATGTTGTATAGAATAAAATGATTAAATAAAAAATGATATAAAAAAATAATAAAAATTTAAAGATATGAGTCCTGCTTAGTTATTATTTGAAGTTGAAGAAGATTTGAAAAAAAAATCTATAAGCTTCAAAGAATAAGAGAAATTAGAATAATAAAAAAAAGAAGCATTAATTGAATAATATAAAGAATTAAAAAATAAAAAAATAGAATAAGATAAAATTGTAAAGTAGATAGAATAAAGTCTAATTCCATTATAAAAATAAGTAAAAATTAATAAATAAATAATATATAAATATAAATATATATATATATATATATATAAATATAAATATAAATATAAATATAAATATAAATATATTAATTTAATAGATTAATGATATTGAAACTTTGAATTAAACATAAATAAAAGAAATATAAATTTAATTTGTTGAACTTGAACATAATTTAATAATTTAAGAATAATAACTAAAAGATTAATTTTAAAAATATAATAACATTAACCAATAAAGCTCATCTTAAATTAGTTCTTTAGAATAAGATTAAGAGCATATTGAAAATTAATTTATTTCATAATAAAAAGATGACGATGACAATTATTATGATTAAGAATTTGAAGATTATGATCTAAATAATAATGAATAAAATAGTGGTTTTTAAAAAATTGATAATAATAATATTATACAAACATCAGCTAATTATGTTTTAGATAATTCAGGTTAAAATGAAGTTGGTTTTGAAGGAAATATAAACAATCTTAATAATTTTTAAATGTAAAATAAATAAATTATATTAACATATATATTAAAATAGAAATATTTATAAATAATAAATTTCTGATATATCTATATAAAATTAAAAAAGCGAACAAGAAAAAAAATAAAATTAAAACGACAATAAAGATAAAAAAATACATAGAAGTAAAGAATCTAAATTAGCTTAAAAAAAGAACGCAATATAATAAAACCTATAAGAAATTCAACTTTAAATTTCAAATTTAGACAAAGACCTATAAGAAAAAATTTAAAATATAAAATTAAATAACCAATATGATTATTTAAAGCAAGAACTAGACGAAAAATAAAAAGAATATGAAAAACAAAAAACTATTTATAACTAATATGTCCGAGAGTTATCCAATATTCTTAATTAATAAGAAGAAATCATGAAATCTTTTGAATAAATTTAATCGGATTTTCAAATTTACGAATAAGACACCAAATATTATGTAGAACTATACAAGAAACAAGAATAAAAAGTATCCAAACATGCCGACGACTAATTAAAAGCCATGGATAATATAATAAATTTAGAAAACCAAATAAAAGATATAAAAGATTAAATTGAAACACTAAAAAAGAAAGAAGAAGAGCTCCAAAAGAAAAAAGACTTGCAAAAAAACTAATAAAACCAAGCCACAACTAAAGATAATAAAAACATGAAGCAAGATGATAAAAAAAAAGACTCAAATACAATATATTCTTTATTTGTTATAGCCATGAATTTTATAAGGGGCTCTTTTAGTGATATACCACCTGATTTAATAGGTGATTTTGGTTAATTTTTATAGTAATTTTTATTGAAAAACGTAAAAATGAATGATAAAGTAAAATAAGGTTTAATGTTTTTTAGTTAATTAATATAAGGTTAATTAAATGGAGAGAATTCTAAGAAATTAAATAGTATAAAAAAGGAGAAGATATACATAGTCCAGTCTTTATTTTAACTCCTTGAATTTTTAATAAATAACAACGAGAATAAAATAAGAAACTTGTAAAAAAACGGTACTTAAGTATACGGTTTTGACGAAAACATAACCTGTTCTTTAAAAGCTTTATTTATTTCGAGATTCCAAGGCTTTATTTCAACCGAAGAAATCCAAGAATAACTCTATAACAGTGACATATTCCTTTAGATATCTAAAAAAATGAAAGTATCTTAAAAAATACTACTTGGTATAATTAACATAATAACCCAAAGAAATAAAACAGGTATCTAAAATATTCTTGAAATCTACAAATTCGCCTGTAAAATTTCCAAGATAAAAGAAAATCGTATAAACACCTTCATTTAATTATATAACCTCTATAGTTCAATAGACGCCCAGTAAATATACGAAGCTTTATTATATTTTAAAGTCACAAATCAAAACATACCAAAGCCCTATAATAATTTATATTAGATAACTTAGTTAATATTATTCATAAGAGGTCAACTTTCATTTAATATTTGCAAAGATTTCCTAAATAAAGACTTTGGAATTGAAAAAAGTAAAGACGGGAACAAAAAAATAGAAATAGATATATAATAATAACTCATTAAGTAATTAACTCCCACTAAAGAAGACTCTATTATTAATTAATCTAATATATCTAATGATAATTACCTGAAATATTCTAAAAATTACGCAAGTTTAAAAAGGATTTTCGAGCTCTAGTTTAACAGCTATTTGACCCTAAATTAAGTTACTGGAGACTTTAAAATAATAAATTAGAACAAAAAACTAATCATAGACCAAGAAGAGTTCTAGTTTTTCAAAAAATTTTGCGCTTTTAGGAATATTCCATTAAATCCATCTGACTAATCAACTTAAAGTGCATAAATAAAGGCTGCAATAACAGATATTTCTCTAATAATAAACGTCGAAGAGAACCTTCTTGAAAGCTTCATTAATATATTCATAAGTTCGAGATCAGAAAAGATCTATAGAGCTATATAAAACCTCGATCTCGTCTAAACTATAAGCAAAGATAGACGATAAAACTAAATTCTCGACTATATTGAATACTGTTGTGGAATAATTTAGAAATTTGAAGAACTACCTTCTAATTTACAAAATATATAAGAAAAATTATTTTAAGAAAAAGTTCCTAAATAACTTCTTCACTAGATTTTAATCCACAACAACTATTAAATGAGTCTATAAGGAATTCTCGATACTGTGAATATTTTCGGTCCTGAAACGTCTCCAAGTGTATAAAATGTTTTAAATTTTCATTTAGGTTTAATGGAAAATAAAAGCAAAGATTTAGCAAATTTTATAAAAAAAAGCGAAAATATGGATGATAACTCATATTAAGGTTTAATAAAAGCAGTTTAGATTTTATGTGAAAATAACCAATAATAAATGATAAAATACTTACTTGAATTTCTTGATTAATAAAAGAACTAATTTTTATTAATTTTGGCTTGTTTCTAAGTTTTTTTCAGCGGAAAATCCAAAGGTATATCTTTTAAAATTCAAAACAAACAAAATAATTCCGATGATAACATTTACACTGTAAAGCAATATCTAAGTACATTTCTAGATATAAAATCTGAGTTTTTCGATTCTCTATATACTTTTTTTTCATCTGACACAATCCAATGTACCTAACAACTAATTAAATTTTACCGTCAATTAGATTTCTAGTCATAAATTAGAGAAAAAACTAAATAAAACTAAAACCCATAATAAATATCCTACGCCTCTTTAATAAATAAAGTCACAATATAAGACAAAGCAGTAGAATAATATATTCGCCTAACAAACGGCTAACCTATAAACACTTCTTTTTTTTCACGAGAAGCTAAATTTCCTATAGAAGCAGTTGAATTAGTATCTTTTTTAGCCTAAATAAAGAATGCTCCAAATAATTAGATTAGAAATGAAATATATGAATAAATGAAAAATAATGCATATATAAATAAGGCTTTGTAGTAGATATAAATTAATTTATAAGAATTAATTTCCTGTTTTAAAATGATGTATTTAGATTATAATCCAAATGATACAAAATGGATATAAAAAGCATTAAAATTGCCATCTTCTTATAAAATGGATGGTCTATAGTAACTATTGCTATTAGATACATGCCAAGAGATATATGGAGATACTAAAATTTCATTAAAAAAAATAATTTCATTAATAAAAAATAATAAAATTATCAAAACAATGAAAGTAGATGAAACATGGATTACAGTAGCCTATATTTTAGGAAGAGGTGAATTTACATTAATAAGAGATTATGCTAAAAATATTTATGGTTTATAATATCCGACTAATTCTTATCCTTCCACAGAATATTAATAACCTAAACCGTATTTAGCATAATGCACTTTAACAAATGAAAATGATTTCCATTCATTAATAGTAGGTATAACAGGGTAATTTTTAAAAATTTTATATTATATATATATATATATTATATATATATATATTAAATATATTATTATAATAGTATATTAAAATATTATTTATATATTTATATTTATATATTTATATATTTATATATTTATATATTATATTTTTATATTTTTAATATATTTTATTAATTTATACAGTATTATAAGTAGTAGATTAAGTAATATTAAACCTACTCAAGTTTTATATAATATATATAAGAATATATCTATGAAAATGAAAAAAGATTAATAATAGAAATATGATGAATCTTTAAATAATATAGATAAATTAAAAAAAGGTAATACATTAGATTATGCTATATATTAATTGACAAAAAGTACTTATTTAAGTCCTATGTGGACATTATTAATATTAGGAGATTTTAATACTTGGGAATATTTAGCTTAGACTCATTTTATGATTAATAATAGCAAAATAACATATTTAAATCCTATAAAAGCATTAGTTTTGATAATTAACTTTTTGAATTTCCCTACTATCTTAAAAGAAGTTACTGTAAATAATGAATACATAATGATTTTGAAAGTAATAAGGGAAAGTTTTTTAGATTCTTAAAAAATTATTAATAAAAATTCTAAAAAGAAAAATATTAATACTGATATAGATATAAAAAATGAAGAAGATAATAAAAATGAAGAAAAAAAAAATGAAGAAGAGCAAGAAAAAGAAATAGAATAAGAAGAAAAAAAATAATAAATTGAAGATGATCTTTTGCAATATTTAACAGAAAAATTATGCCCTGATATATAAAAAAGATAATTAGAAATTTTAGATAGTTTTGAAATATATGATCCTATGAAATTAAATGAAATGGCTAGAAATGTTAATTTCCCTACTAATATTATTTAAATGTTAGTATAATACTATAACCAATATACAAAAAAAGAGCTAGAATAAAAAAAATAAAAATAAAAAGGTAGAAAAGAGAAAGAATAAGAATAAAAAGAATATTAAGAAGGAAATTAATAAGAAATTAAATATTTATTAACTGATGAGATTCTATTATAAGTTATGATAGAAAAGTAATCAAAATATATTAAATATATAAATAATATTATAAATATGAATAATATATATATATATATATATATATATATAAATATTAAATTATATTCATATAATAATATATTTATATTTAATAGTGATTTACAAAATTAAAATGAATATGAACAAATATATGATATTATTATTAAAGTATTTAAATAAATAAATACGTATTTTTATACAGATCCTAGAATAGAGAAAAACGATTAAATATATGAATATATAAAATACAATAATAAACAGAAAAAATTCAAATTTACATAATAAAATTGTAATTTTGTAATGAATTAAAATCCTATAATGTAGCTAAATGTATTAACTTCGTTATACTAACTAAAAAGATGTTATTGGGATATATTTGGGTATGCAGATAGAGAAGATGATCATTCTAAATAAGTTTCATTTTTAATAGACTTTTTATTATCCACAATTGAAAAATATTACTTTTATGATGATATGATAGATTATTTTTCTAAATTTCGACTTATATAAATTATAGTAAAAATTAAATTAAAGAAAAGCCTAAATATAATATTTATTTATATTAATAGGGTTTAGCATGTGGATTCACATTAACTACAGATGATATATTAAGATCTAACCCAACAGAAAGTTTATATAATTATAATTATTAATAAGTAATGGTATAATTATATGAATGGTGTTAAGATAAAAATATAAATGATAAATTATCTTTAGAAAGCAACAAAAGTAAAATCGCCATATAAAAATTCAAACTAAAATAAAACTACTACTTTGAATTATTAGCTAAAGATATTATTTCTACATATGACTAATATGGTAGTATGTCTAAAAAGCTTGGATTTTTCAAAGACTTTTTAGATGAGGATATTATTACTTGTATATAAAATAATACTATGGAATATTTAATTGATAATTTTGAGGATTATATAGACTCTTAGTAAATTTATTTTGATTTAAAAAAATAATAATATTAAATATATTATATATATATATATATATATATATATATATATATATATAAATATAATTAGTGTTTCTTATTAATATTAAGAATTTAAAATATTTTATGATCTTTAAGACTCAACATAATTTTTGAATTATAGAAAAAGAGAAGGATATTATGATAATTATGATTTGGAATAAACAGATTTTTAATGTGGGGCTAAAAACAAAGATGTAATAAATTAATAAGATAAATTCCAAGAAATGACTTAAAATGATAATTTTGTACTTTTAGTTGATATTTTTAGAGAAAACTATCAAGCTTTAAATATGCACGAATTTTTTATGGAAAATTACTCTTAAGTATTTTTTTTTTTTTTAAAAAAAAAAATTATATACTTTTAATATTTATTGCGATTTTTTTTATTTTCACCTTTTATTTTTAAAAAATTCAATCAAAATTAAAAAAGGCTTTTTTAGCCTTTTTTTTTCGATTGCTTTTTTAAAATAAATTACAAAAATTATAATGTTAAAAAAAAATATAATTAATTATTATATATTTTTTTAAGGAATGTAATTTCTATTTTGGTGTACTATTATTAAATGGAGCTATTTTATAAGATAGAGGTGAAATATAATTTGATAATATGATAAGTTGTTTATCTGCAAGTACTTAATTTATGGTTAGTAATAAAAAAGTTCTCGCCGAAATTCTATGTTTATATTTATCATCTATATATTAGCCTTTCTAGGCTTTACTAGATGAAACATGTTCTGAAGGAAAAGATAAAATTCTCCATAGTTTTATTTCTTTAGCTATGGATAAATCACTAGATCCTAAAAGTGATCTTGACAGAATTCTTTCGATTTCTAATTTAACGGATATTAATAGACAGTAATTATTTATAAATTAATTTTAAACATTTTTTTTTTTTCAAATAAATAATAAAAAAAAAATCTTAATCGATAAAAAAAATGGTTATATTTTTATTTATTTAAATGGAATTTAAAAAAAATAATATATGCATATATATATTTATATTTATAAAAATTAATATATTAGTGTCGTTTAAAATATTAAATTGTTCTATGAAGGAAATATGAACGAATGTTTGAAATTAGTTTAATATTCTGAAGTATTTTAATATTGTCCTACTGCTTTATAATATTTATAAAAATTCCTTTGGTCATTCGAAAAAGTATAAAAACATTATTATTTATATATATATATAAATATATATATATATATATATATTATATATTTATATATATATATTTATATATTTATATAAATTTATTAAAAGGGATAAATGCATATTCATGAAGAAGATGAAAACACAATAGATTTTTTTTAAAGGTCTAATCTATCTCCAAATAAAAATAAAGCTTAGGAAAAAGCTGAGATTTATTTTTGGAAAATATGTGCTGAAATCTGCAATTTTAAATAGAATAAGGACAAAATAATTAAACTTCATTAAAATATAAAAAAATGTAAAGAAAATATTAAAACTATTGAAGATAAGATAGCTAAAGATGCTTAAAATTAGGCATAATCTAAAAAACAATTAAAATAAGAAGGTATTATGGATATGAAAAAAAATGAATAGAAAAAAGATAATAATTAAAAAGAAGAAAGTGAAGAAAATAAACCCTTGAATAAATAAAAACTAGAAAATAAACCAAATACAGATAAACAAAAAGAAGAAATTAAACCCAAAGATGATTTAAAAGATAAAGAAGAGAAAAAAATAAAAGAATTTTAAGATGAACTTAAATTTAATTTAGAAGAAGCCAATAAAATAAATCTTAAAAATAAAAAACTAGAATTTAATTATTTATTAAAATGCTTAAGAAAAATAATTAAAAATGAATGGGATTTCTTAGTATATAATTAATAAAAAGACTAAGATGGATATAGGTATTTTTTTTTTTAAATAAAAAATAAATTAAATATAAAATATTAATAGTTAATCTTTTTATCTTATATATAATATAAACGAATAAACAAATGGATATTAATTATTAAAATACTTATATTTATTAAAGCCTAAGGACATTTCCATATTAAAAAATATTTAATTAACTAATGCTTTGACTGAATTAAACGTAAAAACAATAAAAAAAGTTAAAAAAATATAAAACAAAAAAATAGAATATTGATGAAGAATAATAAATGTTTTAACTTTTCAAAGAACATAATATAATTTCATTTTCGGATGAATTAAAATATATTCATTTAATTTTAGGAATTGCAAATAATTCTTTAATAAAAATAATAAATTCCCTTAGTACAAACGAACTTGAAGATAGATTAGATTAATACACATTTTAAACCGAAAAACAAGTCGAAAAAAATAAAAAAAATCAAACAAATACTGAAAAAACTCCAAAACAAGACTAAAAACAAAAAAACAATCTTGCTTTTAAATTTAAATAAATTCTAGAAACAAGAGAAGCAAATAAAGTATATATATTATATGAAAATATATTAATAATAATAATAAAAAAAAAATAGGAATCTTTAATGAAAAAAGGTTATAAAGAACAACTTAATGACGAAGAATAACTAAAAAGAAAAGAAAAAGTAGCTATATTATAATCCTTGTTTTTATGGAAAAACATTACTGTTTTAGGATATGGTATATAGGATAAAATTAACCCTTTAATTGAATATTTAAAAAAGCCGGCTTCGGATTTAAATTATAATCAACTATTTATTAATATGGGAAATTTATTTTAGATATTTAAAAATTCTTTATAGTTTATTTCTGTTGTTTTTATTGATTCTATATTTAGTATCGACTCTAGTATTTTGAATGTAGAAATAGAAGAAAAGCCTAAATAATCTCATAAAAATAAAAACTAAATTTTTAATTCGAAAATAACTAGTGTAAAATAAACTAATTAAATAGGATATACAATGAGTTAAATTCTACAAAAGTAAAAAAAAATTATTTAAAAAAAATAATTAAAAATTAGTATGGAATTCAAAAAAATAGATGAAAATTTATTCAAATCTTAAAAAAAAGACGATGATATTTCAATTTCAAAAATAAGATTAATATTTGAAAATATAAAAAAGTTAGTAAACATTACAAAAAACATTTAATTGAACTTAATGAATAAATTAAAATAATTTCTGATGGTAAAATTTAATTGCCTTTAACAAATATAATAACTAAATAATAAAAATATTAATTAAGTATTAAATATATACATAAATATATATATATATATATATATATATATATAAATAAATATATAAAAAATAGATAGATAATATGTATATATAACTAAATTTATAAATGGATCTTTAATATCTGAAATCAAAAATGAGCATATAGTAATAAGTTATTTATACGATTTATATGAAGCTGGTTCCAACTCAATAGCTTAAGGAAATAGTGCTTCAATCTAAAAATTCTTCAAAGAATAAGAAAAATAATCATAATCTTTATTAAATTACATATTTTAAGGAAATTAAGTTTTTGCTAATTTATTCAATAAACTATTGCAAATATTATTTACAATTTAACTACTAATAAGTTAAAAATAACAAGGTTTAAACAAAACTCAAAAAAATCAACTTTCTAAAGAAATAGAAGATATAATAATTATAGTTGCCAAAGACATATTTAATGCAAATGAATCAATTCTTTCATTAATTCATGCCTTATTTTATTTAATTACAAACCAAAAACCTGAAATTCTCAAGCATAACACTATTTCAAGTACATAAGATTCTATTAGAGTAAATATATATAAAACAATATAAATAAATATAATATATAAATAGGTTTTAATTTAATTCGCCTTCGAAAATGAAGACTTGAAATAATTCTTTTTCGGAAAAGCCTCTAAATCAGACGATGGAGCATAAATCGAGAAAATGATTTCAAATATATTTATTTTACTCTAATCTATATTTGAAAGACCTTAATAAAGTTTAAACGACCCATATGTAGTCCAAGAAGTCATGAAATTATTAAAATATATAAGCAAAGGTTAAATAGACTGTACTATTATTGAAGATATAATATCAATAGTATAAGGCGATTATTAAAAGATTTTCGTTGTGATTAAAAAGTTCGATATTTTAGATTAAAATAAAATAAACTTGATTAATAAAATTTATGATTAAGTTTCTTCTATGGGTGTTTTTTAAGATAAAGATAAATTAACAAATATTGGGAAATAATCATAAGCCCCACTTTCTGATAAAATGAAGGATTTAATAAAAAAATTAAAAGAAGGAAAAGTAAAATAAATATATATTTTTTTTATTTATTTTTTTTAAAAAAAAAAAGGTTTAAATTGCTGATATATTTTATGCAGTTGATAAAGAAGGAGATGGAAATGGCTCCATTTCAAAAGATGAATTTAGCAATTTTATTAAAAGATTAGGTATTTTTAATAAATTTAATTATTTTTTATAATAATAAAAAATAAGGTATGGAATTAACAATTCACAGAATAAATGAAATATTTGCAGCTATAAAAAATAATAAAAAAAGTAAACATAAAATGATATAAAACGAGCTAAATGAAGATTCTTTAAATCAAGATGAATTCGAATAAGCATTTAAATATTTAAATGATAAAAAAACGTCAATGACATTAGAAAAACTAGGAATTTCTCCTGCTTTGTTAGCTATAGCTTTAGGAACTTTAATTATTATTTTAATTTTGTTGTTAGTTTTCATTTTCCTTGGAATTAGTGCCTTTGCTCTAGGTGGTACTTTTGGAGCTATTATTAATTCAATTATTCCTATGTCAGCAGCAGGTGGGGCTGCTAGCTCATAGGAAGATAAAACAAAATAATTAAAGGAAGATAATTTGAAAGATGCAGTAAACGAAACATAAGAAATTTTACATTCAAATTAACTTTGAAAATTATTAATATTATTTAACAAAAAAATTAATTATGAATATTTATATATATTTTATATTAGATTTGTTTTTAAAAAAAATCAAGGTTTTAAAAATAAATTATATCTAAAAATTAATAATACGGAAAAACAAAAAAAATTATATATATATATAATTTATATATTTTTTAGTTTTTTATTAAAGTATTAAATTAATTTAATAATATTAATACAAAATTAAATCTGAATATTTATTTTTATTTAATAAAATTAATATAATAAATATGTATTAATTATATAATAATATCTTATTATTAGATATTTTATCTTATTATTAGATATTTATTACTTTATTTATTAAAAAGTAATTTTTAAATAAATATTTTTTATTTTTTTAATATATATTATATTAAGATTGTAATATTATATTTTTTATTATTTGTTTTTCTTATTTCTGTTTTTTTTAGTATATTTTGAATAAATATATTATTATAATTAATACTTAGAAATCCATATAGCTAATAAAAAAAAATTCAATATATAATCATATTATTTTTTTTACAATATGATAAATAATAAATATGAAATAAAATTAATTTGATAAAATTTTCTATATATCTTTTACACAAAACAACTTTTTATATATAATTTATTAATATTTATAAAAAATCTTAAATCTTATATAAATTTAAAATATAAATTAGTTATAAAACTTTAATAAAAATTAAAAATTATTCGAGAAATATTAAACTTATTTAATTTAAATTATTAAATAAATATAATATAATTATATTAATTTTTGTTAAAATTTATAGTTTATATTTTTTTATAGTTTCTTATTTTTAGATTTGAATAGATTTTATTATCTTTATTTTTAAAATTTAAAATAATTATCGAATAAAAAAGTAATAATTTTACTTTATTAATTCTCAAAACCATAAATAATCTAAGAAACAATGTCCTTTAATAATTTTGCTCATAACACTCTTATGTTTAATATACATTTATAAAATATGAGAATGTGAATTTTTAAACGACATATAGTATTATGAATAAAATGAATGCAAAACTGATGAATATTATACAAAAGGTTTATATAAAAATAATATAAAAAAGAATATAAATAATTATTTTTTCAAATATTAAGAATTTAAATAATAAAATAGACCATAAAATATTTAAATTAGAACATAAACAAAAATTAAACTCGGATTTCTAAAATTTTTATTATATATATATTCATTTTCATTAGAAATAGATACGAAATTAAAAGTTATAAATTATTTTATTAACTATTTATACTAAGATTTTAAAAGTTGATAAATATTTAATATTTATAGTATTATGGTATTCTTATAATAATTTTTTAAAAACAATAGATTGATATTTTATATATTCTAGAAAATAAATAGTTAATATGAGATTTAAAAATATATAAAATGAAAATAGCTATAACATAAATAATATTTTCTAGGTTTATATTTAATAATTAAAAGTATTTCTCTCATAATATTAATATTTTTAATTTATTAATAAATTTTAAGAAAATACTTTTTGAAAAAAAAACATTATTTCTAAAAAATAATTATATTATATTATATGTTTTAATAATTAAATTAAATAAGAAAATTAAATTAAATATACTTTTTATTTATAATAATAATAATTAATTTTATTATAAAAAATATCAAAGATATTTTGATAAGTTAATAATTATAAAAAATATATGTAAATTTAAGTATTATAATTTTATATTTAAAAATGAAAAAATTAAATATTTAAATAAAAAAGATAATTATTACTTTATTAATTTTGCTATATTATTAAGCATTTGAAAAAATAACGAAATTAAATGTAATTATGAAGTTTAATATATTTATATCATTTTATTTTAAAAAAACTAAATTAAATATATATATTTCTAAAAAAATGTATTGATTTGGATATTAATAAAAAAGGAGATTATTATATATAACATATATTTAAATGAAACATTATATTATTAAGTTGTAAAATAAATTTGAAAAAAGTAAAGTTAAATTATTAATTTATGACATTGTTCATATTTAAATATGAATAAATATAAATTTATGGAAAAAAATGTAATAATCAAAAATATTAGTTAATATAAAAATATCTTTAATAATAATATTTATTATTATAATTTTATATTATTATTATTATTATTAATATTAATATTATTATTAATATTTTTTTTTTATTATAATTAATTTTAAAAACATATTCATCCATATTATAAATTTTAATATCTTTTTTAATATATATATATATTTTTTTTTTTTATTATTATCATATTTTTAATTTTTTTTATTATTTTATTATAAATTAATATCAAATTAATTTTTATATATTTTATTTTTAAATATATATATTTTTAATTTATGTATTTTTATATTAATTATAATATATAATCAATTTTTATTTTATAATATATATTTAATTTTTTTATTTATATATTAATTATAATATATATAAATTATAAATAATTTTTTTATATATATTTATATAATTTAACATATATTTTTTTTTTTATTAATTATTATTTTTAAAAAATTATAATGCAATAAAATTCATATTTTTTTATTCATATACCTCTTTTTTTTTTTTTATTTATTTTTATTCTAACATTTTTACTTTGTTTTAATTTAAATCAGGATAATATTATTCATTTAAAAACTTATAATCATATCACCTCTTATATTAATTATTTAAATAATATATCTTAAGAGATAACATATAAATTATAAAATATTTTGCTTCTTATGATATTGCCAATAAATTAAATTTATATAAAAAATTAAAATTTTAAATATTAAATAATTATTTATTAATTTAAATTAAATAAAAAACTTAGAAATAAAATAATATATTTATTTAAATAAATTTTAATAAATATTTAATTAAATTAAATCTTTTATTTATATAGAAATTAATTTAAATTACATTATTTTTATTAAGTTTCTTTTAACTTTCATTTTATAAAAATATTGAGCCTTCTTAAAAATATATTAAAAAAAAGCTATTAAGATTACAATAATAAAATAATAAAATGTTTTTACTTAAACATAAAAATAAAAATAATAATAAACATATAAAAATAATAATAAT